ATGATAGTGAGACTGATGTCATTTTTAATTTATTCTTTATTTATTTAAATAATACTAAGTTAAGAAGAAGATGATATTAAGGGTGGGGAGTGGGAAAAAACAACACGGGGACTTAGTAGGAAGTTAAAAGAAAAGAAGATGATATTAAGGGTGGGGAGTGGGAAAAAACAACACGGGGACTTAGTAGGAAGTTAAAAGAAAGGAGAGATGTTCACGGTCTGGATTGGTCCAGTTTTAGCCCAAATCATGACCAAACCGGACCTAACGGTTAATTTTTTTTTGTCCATAATCGGACCGTTTTTTTTTTATTTTTTTAACCGACCACAATCCGGACCGCATTGGACGGTCCGGTTTGGCGGTTAACCGGTTAGATCCAAAATCCTTGTTTTGGGCTTTCAATTTTTTTTTTTTTTCATTTTGGGCTTAATTTTTATTTTCCAATTTTGGGCCCAAAATAGATTATTTGGGCCTAAAAATTAAGGAAAAACAACAATAATGAAATAAAAAATACATAATTTATCCCATAAGCATAAAAATACACATTTCGTCCCATAAACATAAAAATACAAAAATGATGAAGATTAAATAATGCAAACTGAACCCAAGCAAGGTGGAATAAAGTGAAAAGTTATAGTGTCTTACAAAATTAAGTCAACAAAATACCAAAAAGTGAAAGTGAATGTATTATATTTGTCGGTCATAGTGAATGACTGAATGTATATATATATATATATATATATATATATAGATATATGTTATAGTTTTTTTTATATTTACCGGTCCGGTTAAACCGGCGGTTTGCCGCAGGTAATCCGTTAACCGGAATGGTTATTCCGAATTTTTAAAAAAATTAACCAACATATTTTTTAAGGCTTTTTTAACCGACCATTTAACCGTCCGCGATCCAAATTGACGGTTTTTTCCGATTAAAATCGAAATGTGAACGCCCTAAAAAGAAAGTGTAGAGATTTTAGAATAACTTTCCCTAAATTATATATGTTTGTACTGTAAAATGGCTAAAAAATTTGACATTTGTACAAAACATAATATTTTTTTATATTTTTCATTTCTACTTGCCTAACTGGCTGTTTCTTTTTTCTTTTTTCTTTTTTCTTTTTCCTCTCTCCTCTTTATAAAAAATGCATATACACCGACATGATAAAGAAAAATGTTAAAGTCTTCGTCAGAGTTTATAACTGTTAGATCATCATGTAATCGTCAGAAATAGTTGATATAACAGTTATAAACTCTGACGAGATGGTTACGTAAGGAGACCTAACATCTTCCCATGATAAAATCATTAAATCTTGCTAAAATTGAGCTCAGTGGCTGCTGACAATGCGTTGAAACTCAATTACCGTTCTGTGGTAAACTTGTCCCACTGATAAAATTCGTTTTAGTGATTGATTTTGACTATAATTTCTTCATGAATTGCTGCTATCCATTAGATTTTTAATGGGGTTTAAGAGTCGAGCACTAGCAAATTTATTATAAGGACCAGAAATTGTAACGATTTTTACTATTTCCACATTTTCAATGTTTATGTACGACCAGCGGCGGACTTATGATTTAGGTTTAAGACAAACTAGTACAATACTTGTGTATTACACGGGTCTTTGTTAAAAATTATTTTTAAAATTTAAAATTAATGAAAAAAATTAAATTAAATTTTATTTATTTTTTTACAAAAAATATATATTGTTATATATTTTAGAATAACACTTGTTATTTGTACGACTTGCATATGTTATATTATAGTAATTTTTATAACTTGTATCGTATAACTACTTGAAATACAAATACATTAAATGATAAATAATTTCATTTTTTACACTAATGTTAAAATCAATTTTATTAATGTTATAAGGGTAAATATAATTTTTTTATACATACAATATGGATGTTAAATCGAAGTTCATCAAAAGATGATTAATTTGATATATTATATATGTAAAACTGATAAAAAATACAGAAGTTATTAACTTTTAAAATATATATACAATTTAATTATTATAATAAAAAATAATATTAAAATGCAATTAATACATATAACACGATCATAAATAATCAACATATTTATGGATAATCTGGACTTAATTATTTTTTATTTGTACCTAAGCCTAATAACGAAAAAAGTAATTTTGTCATATAAGATAACGAATGATGCGAGTCTGTCAGTTAAACTCAGCACATTCTGAATTAATATATAGGGGAGGGTGATAATGCAACTTTCTCGTCTTTTACGCATTTCGTGTAAATATAATTTTATCTTGAATATATTTTCTTTCAAATTTGGTAAATATAATTTTATCTTGAATATATTTTGGAGAAAAACATTATCACAGACAATCTATATATATAATTGCTGGCATGTAACATTTAATAAAACATTTAATAAAACCTCTAAAATTTTCTCTCCATTTTCGGTTACAAAATTTGTCATTAATATTTTTTACTTCTCACATTAATACATCTTAACGAGTGTAATTATGTATGTTTATATTATATTATATAATAGTTATTGTAAATACCAACTAATAGTAATTCACAATAAATATAAATTACATAATTATAAACAATTGTTTCAAGTTATATATTTTAACATCAAAATTATCTTTTTATTTTGTATCTCATAAAAATATTTCTTTAAAAACAATTAGTAAATTATTTTAATAGCATAGTTAAATAATTTTAGAATCTTATAAACAATTGTATTTTAAATATATATATATATATATATATATAATTTCTAGCTTAGCATTTAATTTTACCTATTTAATATAAAATCTTTAACTTATTCTTCCTAATGATCAAATTTTTTAAAATGTAATATGTTAATTATCTAGTATTTTAATATAAATTTTCAAATATTACTTACTAATATTTTATGTACATCTGTGCATGTGCACAGAATATCTACTAGTTTTTCGTAATTTTGAACAAAGTATAATCACTATTTTGATAATTTCACCTTATTATGTGAGAAACACTTTATAAAACAATTAAGGTTGTTGTTCTAATATTAA